GGATGGATGACGTTTTTGCTCCATACAAAAACATCATGGAAGAAATGAAAGAAAGAGACGACAACTCCCTATCACCATGTTCTTTGATCACCGAAGGAGAGATTTAACACCATCAATCACTGGCGGCAGTGAGGAAGCAGCTGAATCCACAGTTGCCCCCACTTGACCACCTGTTATGGAATTGAGTGACGATGAGCCCGATGACCTCCGTCCTGTCGCCGAGGAGAGGTACGGTACAGTAAAGTGAAATTCTTATCTCTTTTTTTAATAGCTTTTCTTGCCATGTTTATTGTTTGTAAAAATGCACAGCACAGTACAGTTCAGTACAAGTACTGTACATAGGAAGTGGAGGTGCAGTTATTCACAAAACATTTGTGTTTGTTGTCGGCAGTGCGGAAGGAGGGGAGGGAGCGAGTTGGGAGGAGTGGTGAGGTGACCTTGGACGCAGGAACAGGGACGAGTGGAGATGCCAGCCAGTATATTTCGGGTGTATTAATTTTTGCATTTTAATATTAAATACTGTACATTACGTTTCAACAAAACTACCATTTATTTCTGGGAACATAGAAATGTAATATTTTTGCTGAAATGATGTACGTATTACAGTGGAAAGTGGGATAAAATTGTGACGCAAGCAATGACTCTCTCTCTTTCTTTCGTTCAAAAGATGTTGCCGTAATCGCTTTTCGAATGGTTTTCAGTTGTGGGATTATAAGGCTAATGATAGGATAGAATATTATTGTAATACAGTACGAGTACAGTACAACAGTTTTTTAACTGAAAACCATTCGAAAAGCGATTACGGTAAAATCTTTTGAACAACGAAAGAAAGCGAAAGTCATTGTTTTCATAATTTTATCCCACTTTCCACTGTACAGTAATATGTACGTCATTTCAGCCAAAATATTACATTTCCATATTTATTTCTGAGAATATAGTCATTCAGTCACAGTTAAGGTAAAATATACTTGTGATGTAATATTTTAATGAAAATACGGTATAGTAGTTTTCTTTTGTATCAAATTTAATTAACAAAGATTGATGTTTCAAATGTAATGAACAAAAATTTATGTACAGTATCTATAAATAAACTTTAACAAATGAATACTTTGTTTTACATCGTCCTGTGCACGGTATACCATACCATGCATTTGGCTACTTTGGGCTAGCTATGATGACGCAAGAGATCTGCCCTGGCGACTGTACCGACACTCACAGCTGGTGGTGCGTTGGTGCGTCGTTTCCATTGTTTACTGGTAGTTACTGGTAAATATTTTTCAACCTAATGAAACTATTACCCTTTTAGAGGTCGACCCCCAATTTTTTGCAAAATAATTTGGTCTTAAAAACTCGAACTACACACAGGTATATACGGTAAATAAGGACATGGGGGGCCAGGGATTTTTTAGGGGAGGGGGGGCAGCAAAAGTACACAGATTTTTAACATTCACGGGTATCTCTGTTACCTAACCCCCGCGTATGTTAAGGGCCGACTGTACTTTGTATTTTCCACACCCCTGGGACTGGCATGAAAAACTCAAGGATTTTGCTTTCTCACGAGGTCTATTTTACCTAACCCCAGCGAGGTTTAAGGGAATACTGTGTATGAAGGGTACAGGTCCACCACCAATTTTCCGTCATCCTTGGTTCCAAAGCCTTGCCGGATTATCCGTTTTGCCGGACCAACGAGGTCGGGTAATAATAATTCAACACTACGCCTCTGACCCACTAATTATACACCTCCTGTGTCTCTAAAGCACCATGGACTGCTAGAAACTTAAATTAAACAAATATTAAGTGTAAATTAAATGAAAAAGACAAAATTTTGAGCAACATTAATGTACACACTTCGCACTCAATTGTACTACACTAGAATAAAATTTTTATCTCTTGTGCAAACTATGTGATGTTTATATTCAAATTAATTGTTATCTTACAAGAATTCCAGCAATGCATTTTATATTCTGATGTCTAGTCAGCTACATTTTATAAGATAAAAACTTTAAGCCTAAAACTGAAGAGGATAAAAAAAATCACCCTGGCTGGGAGGAAAGGGGATTTTTTTTTTTTTGTGTTGACAGCTGTCAGGGAGGGGAGATAGCAAAGTGTGTAGTTATCAAATAGAATGAGTTTAAGTTTTCCTTTATAAAATGTCACTGAATTGACTTGGCAGTATATAACCTGCATTGCTGTAATTCTTGTAAGATAGTGATTAATTTAAGTACAGTACTGTACAAGCATCCCATAGTTTGCACTAGACATAATTTTTTTAGGAATTAACTTCGTACTCTTGAGTACAGGTTTGCCCTGAGGACAATTATTTCTTTTACTTTTTTCACAATATATATTTAGGATGATGTGTGCATGTAAATGAGTAAAAATAAATTAAGAAAGTTACATATATCTTCCCGAAAATATGAGTTAAAAAACTTGTACAGCACTCAAATGTACCACACTAGACTAAAAAATTTATCTCTTGTGCAAACTATGTGATGTTTATACTCAATTTAATTGCTAACTTGCAAGGACTCCAGCAATGGAAGTTATATTGCACAGTTTTTGTAAAAAAAAAAAAAAAAAAAAAAAATTTCATGAGGCAGTGTTGGAGGCCATGCAACACACGCTACTAGCGGCAGCACATAGATAAGTGTGCTTTTAGCGAGAGGGTCAGTGTGTCATTCTGGGGTGGATGTGGGCATACAGCCCCGGTGAACTGGTCAAGATTGAGGGGAAATTCACAGCACATTAATTGTGCTCTTTCTTTTTCTTTATATCATATACTGTAGATGTACCAACACCATAGTCTTCACTAAGCACCTCACAGAAACACCTTTATCCAGTCTTTGAAATAACTCTACTTTCTGCTTTATACTAAGCAACAAATGGTTTTTGGTAATCCAGGGAAAAAATAGGGGATATATAACCAAAATCAATAGAGAGGCAAATGTACACAGCTGTTGTTTGGTCAAACTGAGGAGCGTAGACTACTGTAGTGCCACAAAACAAAGGGACCATCTACAACCCGTGCCAATTTCAAAATTTGCCAGCTTCGAATATATTTGCCCCCAGCTTCGAAAATATTTGCCACCAGCTTCAACATTATTTGCCAGCTTCGAAAATAGCCGAATTTCTGGTCTCTCAGGATTTTTGGAAGCCGGATCAAGGATCCAGTACCTGTATATATAAGCCTACATTTATCATAACCATAATATGCAGCCATCTTTTTCTAATCTGAATAAAGTACAGGAGGTCCGCGTTACATGTGCCAAAACACGTTATTTCACATACAGCTGCTCCCTGACTTACGACGGGGTTAGGAACCCAAATCCAGGTCGTAAGTCAAAATGGCCGTAAGTAGAAAATGCTTAAATAATACATAGAAAATCTAAAATGGGTGTCTCTTTTTCTTCTCAGCACCACAAAACTCTCACTTTTAACCTTAAGCCTGGGGTTAGGGTGCTGCTGGCAGTACCCCCCACACGGGGTTAAATCGAGAAAAAAAATCAACACTTCCAAAATTAATTAAAAATAAATAAAAAACAAAAAACAAAAATAAAATAAAAAATGGCGGGAAAATAGGCAGATGTTCTGGAATGTCACCCGAGGCGCACTAGTCAGACGTTCTGGAACATCACCCGGGGCCTAAGGGTTAAGAATGCCAGCCATTTTAAAGTGAATTACAAACGAAAATTTTGTCAGTACACAGTGCAATCACTGACGTTGGGACTCGAAAATACGTAATTTGACAAAATTTTGGTACGACTGAGGCGGTCGTATGTCCAGGTGGTCGTAAGTCGAGTAGGTCGTTAGTCAGGGAGGAGCTGTATACTGTACATCGCTAACAAATACTGTATAGGGGGAAATTTTCATTACTGTATATTTCATTTGTTTCACATATATTTCATCTGCATCATCCACTATTTTATACTAAGTTTGTGTGTATCCAAATATGAGGCATAAATTGTGTTAAAAACATCTAATATAATGTAAAAATAACACCAAAATATGTCAGTCACCTCTCACACAACTGCACATCAATGCCATTACGTGTAAGTAACTACAGAATTTGCAGAAAAGTCATCAAAATGTGCTAGCGTGCCTTATGAATAAATAAAATACTATATACTGGACAGTAATAAAAAATTGTAAAAGAAAAGTTAATTAAGTAGGAGTATATTCTGTGTGGGAGATGAAGTGTATCTGGGCTAGTCTATACCACACCGCAGACACTTAAATCACACAAATGTCCCTACTCAGTTCCTATAAAATGGAAGGTTTGCATGTAAAGAAACGGAGTGAAAAAAAAACAATAAATACTATGTATGGATGTGTAGCCAGTGAGAGGAGGAGGCAGAGGAGAGAGGAAGTGCTGGCTGGACTGAGAAGGCTACTCACTTCCCATGCTCTTCAGCCCATGATCCCTTTATACTGTAATGCTAGTATGCAATTTAACTATAATTCTCATATATTTAGGTACAATTGGTGTCAGATAAATAAAGCATTATCGTAAGATAATAAATTTTTCCGAGAAAAATCCCACACTCAACCCCAGATGAGTTACAGCATCATACTAAATTTCTGGCAGTTTTATTTACATAGCGCAAACAGCTGATAGCTTAGATCATCCCTCACCATGTCATCATGCTATCACAAGATCTGTCATCAGCATCATGCTATCACAAGATCTGTCATCAGCACATATTATATAAATTGTAGCCAAATCAAGCCATCATGTATCACTCAAAGGTAGCAAATAATGTTGTTAGGAAGGTATTTGGTGTAAGCTCTCTCTCTATATGAACACATCCTGAGCTTTCAAGGGGTATTACTGTACATGTTGCAACACATATATCCCTAATTACATTAATTCTTATAGGCAAAATCCTCATTATAAAATGTTTCACTATAAGTCACATTTCTCTGGAACACATCCCAACATATAATGAAGACTGCCCTCTACAGTAAGTTTAATGTGCTCATTAAATAAACATGTTACATACCATATAACTCTCTTTGTCTCTCTGTGAACGTTGAACAGTTCTTTGTGTGTCCGACAACTTCTTGCGGAGATTAGTGACCTCATCCTCTAAACGTGTCTGACTTGTGACAGCAGCACTCATCTCTTGTTCTAGCTTGTGTTCTCTTTCCTTTTGTTCTGCTAACTCTGCCTGTCAAAATAATATAGTCAATAAAGTCATTGTACTCTATCTCTATACTGTACATTAAATTACATCAAAAAGATAATAAATCCAGGGAAATTGACATTATGAGAAGGAATAATATCACTTGTGATGAAGGCTAGAAAAGAATGATTAATTCTGAAATTCCACTTCATAACTGAAACCTCAACCAAACAACTTATGCAATGTCTACAGGTGAGAAAAACCAGGAACCCTTGATATTTGTGGCTGGGGACTAATTTGGTGATGTGCTTATCTCCTACTGTAACCACCACTCTTAAAAAGGGATATTTGAAAGCAAATGTCACAATCAAATATGGTGAGCTAATGAGTCATAAAATAATACTGATTAGACACACTGCCTGAAACCTGTCACAAGATCTCCTTCCATAATGGACTTCAGGAATTGAACCTTACTTTGTAGCCAACTTCCTACTAACCAAAAGGACCCAGTTGGAGGCTTGGTAATGAAGTAGAATTTTAATGTCATTTATACCCTACCACTCTATCAAGCTGAGTTGTAAAAAGTACCAGACTTTGTTACTCAAGTAAAAGTATTGTTACATTAGCAAAATGTTACTCAAGTAAAAGTAAAAAGGTATCTCATTCATGAGGTACTCAAGTACTGAGAGTAAAAAGTAACAACAAAATTATAAATTGTCTCAAATATTAAAATAACCCCACAGTAGATTATAAAAACTAGTTAATTAAAGATAAAAATAAAAGACATATGTTTCTTTTGATATCTCTATTGAGATTAATCAATAACTGGTTCTCAAAATTATGGCTGTCCAATCAGGTTCGTTTAGGCCTAAATATAAGCCCAGCATGACCTAACAAAACAGAATACGTTCAGCCGCTGTTCTCCCTACAATCCATTGCAGTTTTTTTACAATCCATTCCAGTTTTTTTACAATCCATTGCAGTTTTTTTTTTTTTTACGGGGATTAGCCCACCTGGGCACAGGTTACTGATCCACATCGGGCCTATGGATGATGATGATGATCATAATAATAATAATAATAATAATAATAATAATAATAATAATAATAATAATAATAATAATAATAATAATAATAATAATAATAATAATAATAATAATAATAATAATAATAATAATAATAATAATAATAATAATAATAATAATAATAATAATAATAATAATAATAATAATAATAATAATAATAATAATAATAATAATAATAATAATAATAGTTAATATCAATTTTAACGTCAATTGAACTCCAGAGGGTCCCTATGAAAAACTGGCGCAAGTGAATAACAGAACATATGGGATTAATTCCAATAGAACCCAGCCCGACCCCCAAACTCCACCTCCCTTTTTGGACGCATAAAATGTAACTATGTTGTAGTAAAATTCTATCTAACTTTATGGTGGCATGAAAACAAGTAATATAGAAGAGGTTAGGTTAGGAAAGATAAAGGTTAAATATAGGAAAAAATAAAGAACAGGTTAAAACGAAAATTTTGAGGAACACTCACGGTAGCAGAAGAGATGGGTCAGTATGTAGATGATGGGTTGGTTCCCCAGGCAGAGGGCAGATTATTGCCCTCTAGGTGAATCACCATTACTAGGTGAATCACCATTACTAGGTGAATCAATATCACTGTCACTACAGTTGCTATGGCTTCCCGACAAATCTCAAAATCAACTTCACTATCACTAATACTGCTTGGGCTGGCTGTGGTGGGCTGCGGCTAAGAACTCGCTATGCTTTGCTGGACGGCTGGCTTTGATGTTGTCATGATACACCGGCGGATGTATCGCCTTGTAGCCTGCACCAGTCGGGTATGGAAGACGCCATGCATGCTCATCACAGTGTCAGCGTGGAAACGATGGACTTAATTTTTTTCTGTTAACTCTAAGGAGACACTTTAATATCACTATGACTTAAAACTAGGTTCCCGAGGTTCACGCGACCTTCTTCCCTCCCTCTTCACTGGCGGGTTCTCTTCCCCAACATCCGGCCGGCAGTCACTCTGGTGATCTCTGATCACCTCCATGATGTCTCGCTGGCGGTCTCGACAGCCTCAGCTGTAATACTGAGCCGCCAGCTTCTCTCAAGTAGCTGTCCACTGCTATGCAACAGTCTGAACCTGACCAGTCGGGCTGGTGTCTACCTCCTTACCTGGCGCTGGCGCAACACATGTCTCATGCGACGCAATCGCAGTTGGGGGCCAGTCAGCAGATCCCATGCCTCCACCAAGAAGTCTACAGCTTGTTTTACGTTAAACTTCTTCCAAAATTGTTTGACGAGAAGTTCTTGAGTCGCCGCCTCTTGTTCCTTGTCCTCGTCGCTTTTACTCTCGCTGTCGGTGTCACCCAGCTTACGCAACTCATCCTTGGTGTTGGTAGAGTCGTTCAGGAGCTTGAATTTCTTTGCCGAGTATGCAGCTTTAACATTGCAGATTAACTCCTGGTCCATGGGCTGGATTAATGACGTAGTGTTGGGAGGACGGAAGACCACTTTACGCTAGGTGACGCATCCGAAATAGTGTCCAGCGTTTGCCGTCAAGGAGCCAGGCTGGAACAATTTCGCCGCCTGGCAACGCCGCACCAAAACAAAGCCGTCGTCCCGCAAAATATGAAGAGATACCATATACTTTACGTATGGGAAGTTGTAAAATAAAGCGATTGTTTTAAGCACCACGGCGTCCTATATTTGCAGCGCGCCAGCGCCTTCGCAAACCCGGTACTTACGCCCATACGGGTGTTGCACAGAGTTCGGTACGCCCCTCACCGCTCTACTGAAGGCAACGAAGGTCTTGTGCTGTAACTTTTCCAGAAAGACCACAGGATTCGGCCCACAGCGTTAAACACCTGGTCGCCACTGTACCAAGTCCTTCCTCCATAACTTTCACGAAAACGGAGGAAAATCTCTAGCCGCCGCACGGTCAGCACTCGCTTCCTCACCAACAAGGCTGATGTTGGTGACCTTGTTCCTCCTCTTAAACCTATGCAGCCAACCATGGGAAGCATTGAAGGGTTTGGGCTCTGCAATTCCCAGTTTACGTGTCACTGCTGCGTATAGCTCACGTGCGTACTCCTGCACTGAGCGCGTGTCCACCGCCATGTTGCGTCGCGCCTGACGCACCAAATAACTCACCAGCAAAGTTTCCACTTTTGCCAGCACCCTGTTCTGGCAATACCTGATAGATGAAGCACCTGCAGAATTTGTGATCTTCATGTGCTCCTTTATCTTGGCTGCATCCTTCTTTATTGTACTAATCGTAGATTCGTTGACGCCATGCTGGCGCGCGAGATCAACTTGGCGTCTTCCTTTCTCCAAATCTTGAACAATTTGGTACTTCAGCTCGTAGCTTAATGAACGTCGTGTCTTCTTTGGTTTAGTGCCGCTGGGTCCAGGTAAGGAAAGGTTTCTCTCTGGGGGTGGTGGTCCGGCGGAAGCCATTTTACGGAACAATGGATGTGCGTTAACCCGGCGTGGCCTTGAGGGATGAAACTGCCGCGGCTAGGTCAAGCGTCGTCTCTCCTCCCTCCCTCCCTCCCCGGGGTAGTCACGTCATAATACTTTAAGCCAATTACAGCTTGCAGCAGAGGGGGGTAGGGCTGCATGGCCAATCACAGTCCGAGACGTCATATGACGTCAGTGATAACGCAACAAAGACACACACTGCGCAACCTTACCGCGCCGCTTACCCAAGCGGAGGGAGGAGGAGGGAGAGGCAGGCAGGCAGGAGGGCGGGTGGGTGGCGCGTGGCGCGTGGTCAAAATCTAAAAATAGCATCCGAGCCGGACACTCACCGTGAAGCTGTGGAAAAACCCGCGTTAAGTGAAAGTTCAGCTTTGGCAAGGCAATCAAGGGCGATATATGTGCAAAACGCTGCTATGAAAGCTGCCAAGTTAAAGTATGCATAACAACAAATAATAATAATAATAATAGTTACACATACAATAACAATACAATAATAATAATAATAATAATAATAATAATAATAATAACAAGTAATAATAATAATAATAATAATAATAATAATAATAATAATAATAATAATAATAATAATAATAATAATAATAATAATAATAATAATAATAATAATAATAATAATAATAATAAGAACAACAATAATAATAATGATGATGATGATGATGATGATGACGACGACGACAACAATAATAATAATAAAAATAATAATAATAATAATAATAATAATAATAAAGAACCATAAACAAATACACAAATGAAAAAAAAATCAAGAGTGAGAAACAATATATGTATGTTGTGTTGTCAATAGTAAGAGAAACAATTGAGACCCTGCAATTGTGTGTAAATGAGGCAGAAAGTCAGATCAGCAACCTGGGACTTGGTCACAATTTTTGTGATGCCATATAGACAATACATTATGCTTCCAATATCTTCCCAGGCAGTAGTACCTCCAACACTGTGATCACTTTCTTCCTTATCCACACAAGTATCATCGACGTGGACTTATGGTCAGCAGATATGATGTTGTCTCTGCTCACATTTGGTTAGGATACAGACCTATCTGGCATACTGTATATCTGAGGTGGGGTTGACCTGCACTTCTCTTCCTGTAAACAATGTAATTGTCCCAACACTAACACCCTTCAACACAACTGTATTGCCTTGACTGTCCCACTGTCAGAGACCTGCTATTACAGGATGAGTCACTAACCAATTATGTCACAACCTACTCTACCCATGCTTTGGTGGTGCTAACCCCCATTGTCCTTAAATCATATCAATAATGTCTCCATGTCACAAGTCATAGCGTGTCCTGCGAGACGTAAACCAATGTATTAGTGTCTGATCGCATGGTCTTGTGACTAGGTTTGTCGCCCCCTGGGGTGTAATAAATTAATAAAATAATATATAATAAGCCGAACATGACTAAACAGATGCTCAAAAGCAGCAGATAAGTCACATAATGTATGGAAAGACCTCAGTAGCTCCATTCCATTCCCTGGACATGCCAAGTAGCTA